CGGGGCGGAAGCAGCCCAGGGCTCCCAGGCAGCGCGCGACGCGGGCGCCCGCGAGGCGACAAACGGGCGGCAGCCGGGCCACCGCCCGGACCCCCCGGCGGGCGCAGGAGGCGCTCGCGGGGCGGCCGCGGGCGGCGACCGAGCGAAGAACTGGGAGTCCACGCCGGCGCCCACGAGCGGCGCCCACGGGCGGCGACAGGAAGAGGAGAGCTCCCAGGCCACGCAGAGCTGGCGCCCGCGAGGCGCCCTGGGGGGGCGACGGGGTGGAGAGAGAACCCCGAGCTCCCAGGCAGCGCAAAAAACTCCCACGGGGCCCCCCACTTGCGGACGATCGAGCCCCTAGTTCGGACGGAGCGCAGAGAGACGGAGGAAAGGAGGGACGAGCAAACGAAGACGAACGCGCAGGCGGGAGGCCAGGGCCGGCGGGACGAGGCAGGCAGGCAGGCGGGCAGGGGCGGAGACGGGACAGCAAGCAGGGAGGGGAGGAGGAAGAAGACGAGGAGGAGGAGGGGCAGCAGAAGGGCCGGGCCAGGGGCCGGGAAGGAAGGGCCGCCCGCGACGAAACTACGGACCCTACGGCGGCGACAGGAAGCGGTCGTGATGGGCGTCAAGAGCCGATGTGGGCGTCGGTCGGGAAGGGCGTCGGGATCGTTGTGGGCATCGGGAAGGGCGTCGGGGTCGTTGTGGGCGTCGGGATCGTTGTGGGCGTCGGGAAGGGCGTCGGGAGGGCGTCAGGAAGGGCGTGGGGTGCCGGCCGAACACAGCACGCTGCGGCTTGGTGGGGAGGGAACCTCTGCGGTATCACCCACCGCCCCGCCGAGGAAGGGACGGCCTTCAGTGTGGGGGGGCGCCAGCGCGCCACCCACGGAGGGGCGCGGGGGGGGCGGCCGCGCTGCCCAACCAGGTGGAGGGGGAGGGCGGGGGGCGCTAGGCTGCGCCATCGTGGCGGCTCACACGGCGTCAGCCGTGGAAGCAGCTGTGGCAGCGGCTTCGCGGGCCGCAGCCACCCCCGCCCCTCTAGACTGGATCTGGAGGCGCCGCAACACCGCCCGCGCGTTCTCCCTGTGCAGGGAGATGGAGAGTCGCTGGACGTGTCGGTCTGCTGCAATTGCCGCGTCTTCCCCCGTGGCGTCAGCCACCCGCTTGGCCAGGACCCCGAAGGCCCTGCGCGCCTCGCGGCCCCACCCGCCGCCGTGGGCTTCCACCGCCATGGGGAGGAAGGTGAAGCCCTGCTCCGCGCACAGCCGCGCGGTGTCCAAGTGCAGCCTTTTGAACTCCTCGTGCCTGTCCGTCGGCGCGCTCGATGAGGCGGCCGACGCGGCGAGGTGATCGGCGCGCAACCCGGACGTGGCGGCAAAGTCCCAGGCGGCCGCCGTGCCGTTGCGCCATCGTGGCAGGTAGACGTCGGCGGGGCGGCGGCATTTGTCGCCCACAGGCGCAGACCAGGGCGTGGCCGCCGAAAACGTCCATCGCCTCTCCACTGGCTGGGCAAAGACACTCCTGCAGGAGCTGGACCCGCAGGCGCCTCTGTAACCCGACTTGCATGCGGCTGTGCGGGAAGGCTGTGCCAGTAGCCTCGCATGGCGGCGCCTGGAGCCACGCGGCGGCGCCTGGGGCCTGCACCAAGGATAAGTGCGCCTTGCTGGCCAGAGTTGCGTCCTCCACAAGCACGTCGAACTCGGCGTCGTCCACAACGTCGGAGAAGGCCTTCTGGTTGCCGTGCCGCGACGGGTCAAACTCCACCCTGTCGGCGTCCCGCACGACTGCGTTGTGGGCCTGCGCCGCAGCTGCCAGGTAACCCGCGTCGCGGTCGGCGTTGTTAGAATAACCAGGGTAGAGCTGCCGACAGAAGTCCGTGCTTTTCGTTCGGGAGGCGACGTAAACGGCGGCAGCGTGCTTTGCAGCAAAGCGCAGGCCGAACCCTCCCCTGTTGAGCTTGAGCTGAGCCTGCCGCCAGGAGCCGTCAGAGGGTGACCAGCCGCTCACTTGCTCTAGGCAGGCCCGGACAGCGTCGTTCATGGCCAGCAGGGAGGCGGTGTGCACGGTGGGCGGAACCACCCGCGCTGAGTAGCTCAGCCTGCAGATGGAGGCACACTGCCGCAGGAGGTGCAGTGCGACTTGCGCGTTTTCGAGCGCCCCAACAACCTCCAACAGCGGGGAGGCGTCCGCGACCCGTTTTCGGTGTGCTCCGCGCAGAAGGTCGCGTCCCCCAAGAAACTCCCAACCGATTCCTTGCAACGGTGGTGGGAGCCCCTTCGTGCGATCACTGCTTGGGGAATCATGGACATGTCTGGTACGGCAATGACGATGGCGCCAAGCCTCGTGTAGAAGACTGGTGCGCATTTTCTGCTTGTGCCCCTGCTGGGAGCACCCTCGCCCAGGGTCTCGAGGGGGGAGCAGGACGAGCTCGTTACAGCACATCCGGGGCCCAGTGGCTTCTCCACAATGGCGCGCGGCCTCCCCACGCACCCGCCAACCAGAACCCCGTGTCGAGCGATCCCCACCGAATGCAGGGCCAGCGTCGCGTCGTAACGACTGGCATGTGATGAAGGGTGAACGCGAAGCGCTTGCTGTGGCATCATGATCTGCTCATATAACTATTGAGCTATAATGTATTATGTATGTTCCATTCTGCCCAATTGATTTATGCGTTATGCTATGCTCTTTTCTCGACGGGGCGTCGTGACATCGTGACGCCTGTCGCGTGTGATACATCGTCAGTCATGTTTTGCAATTTCTTAGCCCTTTCGGTGCTGGCATACACATTATATCGCGACGCGTTATGTTGCGATGCTTTCCATATATATATATATATATATATATATATTGTATCGTATCCAATGATATGTTCTCCGATGCTACGTTCATGTATTATGTTTTGCTCTGGCTTCTCAAATGCTACACTACGCAACTATATTATGATCTAGGCTGCTATCTGTTGTTATGATATTTTGCGTTATGTTGCGTACTATTTCCCCGATCAGAGCTTGCCTCTGTAGGGGTCCTAGCGGATTTAAGGGTAGGTGAGGTGTGCCGCCGATTCGGTGGCCGGGCCCGGGTGCCCGGGTGCCCGGGTGCCCGGGTTCGCCGCCGGTTCGGTGGCCGGGCCCGGGTGCCCGGATGCCCAGGTGCCCGGGTGCCCGGGTGACGGGTGCTCGGTGCCTGGGTGCCTGGGTGCCGGGTGCCGGGTGCCGGGTGCCGGGTGCCGGGTGCCCTGTAGCCCTATAGCCTTATAGCCCTGTGTCCCTATCGCCTTATAGCGCTATAGCCCTATAACTCATATAGCCATATAGCCCATATAGCGCCCAAGAGCCCTGTAGCCCTGTAGCCCTACAGCCCTGTAAAGATTATGATTGGGTTTTTCTCTGGTACCATGCGTTTTATTATACTATGCGCTCAATTGTTCCTGTCTGTGTTCTTGTACACGATTGGATATACCCGGCTATGTTCAATCCTGCAACGTTCTGTTCTAATCATGTTCCCTTCTGTTCCGACCTGCTTTGTTTTATCAGGTGCCGGCCCAGAAGAGGACCCCCGCGGGGCTCCCCAGTGGTTCTGGGGATCTGGCGGACGCGGTATGTGGCGGCCCACAGTGGGATCCCCGCGGGACCACAGGCGGTGCTGGGGATCTGGCGGCCGCGGTAGGTGGCGGCCCAGAAGGGGATCCCCGCGGGAGCACCCGTGGACCTGGGGATCTGGCGGCCGCGGCATGCAGGGAGGGCGGGTCGGGAGGTCTGCCCTCCAAACCTAGCAGCCCCAAGCTGTGGGGCGGGGGACAATAGTAGCCTCAAGGTGGACCAGGGTATCCAAAGTTGGCTGCAGGATGGCTTGAAGAGACTTTGAGATGGCACAAAGATCGCCCCTTGATCCCATCAGAGGCTCCAGCATAGCCCTGCGGAGGTAACCCCAAGAGCAACAACATATGGAAATCGCATTCCTTTTCGCGCGGCTTCTGCATGCCCCGGCTTTCGTTGCAGCGTGTGGCCAAGGCAAGCCCCGGATGCCTTGGGGGAAATCCAAGAAACCTGCCTGGGATTCCGCGACGACCCGAACAGCGCCCAAGATGTCCCCAGGATGGTCCCAAGACGCCCCCGCTGTTCTCCCAAACTGCCCCCCAAAACGGCTCTCCAAGACGACCCAGAACCAGCCCAAGACGGCCCAAGGCTCCCCCAGACGGCCCCAGGACCTTCCTAGACAGCCGACAGAAGCCCCCAATGACACCAGGCTGGCCCCCAAAGGCCGCAGGAGAGCTCCAGGAACGCCCATGATGGACCCAAGAAGGCCCACGAAATCCCAGATAACGTTTCAAGACAGGTACCGGGCTACGCGCACACCACTGTGGCTTTGAACCTCGACTGGAGGATTGCAGCGAATTCCGCGTCGAAGGCTGAACTGGTCTTCTGAATGACCATGCGTGAACCAATCCGTGCGCCATGCTTGCTAGCTTCCCCTACTCCACCTTCGATCACCTCCAACGCTCCCTCACGCCTCCTGCCTCTCTTATCTTCCTCCTTCTCCTCCTGCGCCGTCCCCTGCATTGGTCACCCGATGGGCCTTTCCTTCGGGGGCCGGCGGGATGACGTGAACCCCTCGAATTCGCCGGCCCAACGGGCCAGAGGCGTGCTAAGATCTCCGGTAACTGGTTAACAATATTTCTAGTTCGCGCGCGCGGGGCGGCCCCTGGGGGTCCCCCGGCGAAAAATATCCCGACCACAGCCCGACCAAGTCTACCCAGAGATGGTTTTGAGGGCCTTTTTTCGACACCCCTAACGAGGATCGTGGCCTCCGAGGGGGGTGCACTCGACTACCCCGCCCCAAGAGGCCCCCAAGAGCCCCCCAATAGGCCCAAGGGGGCCCCAAGACGCCGCTAAGGAGCCCCAATAGACCCCCAAGAGGCCCCTAAGAGGCCCCTAGGAAGCCCAAAGAGGCCCCCAAGAGGCTTCAAAGAGGCCCCATAGAGCGCTCGAGGGCCGGCGGAATGAGCGAAGCGATTGAATAACGTCTGCTGACGAGCACGGGGTGAACTCCGCGTAGTTCAGCCCCGAGTTGTAGCCGCAACCGTTCGCGGTCACGTCGACGCTCGCCACGGTGTCACCCCCCTCCACTTCAAAGATGAACCAATGGCACTGGTTACCCGCAGCATTGGAAGCCTGGCACGGGTATCCCTTGTAGTAGCCGCCAGTGCACTGACAAGGGTGCTGCTGCCCTTGCACCGTGAGGGTCCGAATCTCCATGGGCGAGGGCTCGGGGCCAACGCAGTCCATGAACCTTGCGTCTCTGGAGGTCAGGGGGTCGTGCACCGTGTACACTGGGGCCACCGACCCGTAGCCCTCCCACCAGCAATTCGAGTTGCCGCCCACCAGGGTGCAGGCTCCCCATGCCGAGCCGCGATGGTCGTCCTGGTAGTTGGCCAGCTTGATGTCGATGCTGGCTCCGCCCGACGACAGAAAGTTCACGTCAGCCAGGGTTGCGTAGCCACAGTTCAGTCCAAACACCATGGTGGCTTTGATGAACTGCGTCGACCTGGTCTCATTCCCCCGCGTGGCCCCGCTGGCTGTGCCAGCCTGGTCATTGTGCACCGCGAGAGAAACCGCGGAGCTCGCCAGCGCCGCCACGACGCCCGCACGTCCAAACCCCATGGCTCGGCAGGAGAAGCTGAGGACGCTCGGGTGAAGCTTGTTGTTTTGTGCCAGGTAAATTTTTGATAGAAGAGTGGAAGGTTCGGCCAACAGGGGCTGCGGCTTGATACATAGTACCTAACAGCGAAGACTGATAGGTTTCTAGTGGTGTCAAAAGAGAACATCATGACTCCTCAGAGGGGGTCGGGGCGGGACCCGGGGCGGCTGCCGCCGAAGCCCAAATCGCCTGGGACATCCTCGCAAAATCGCTCTTGGCGCTGCTAGAACTCCATTCCCGGCGTACATTTTGGATGCCCGGAGCCAACTGTAGGCCACTTCGTGGTCTTCGAGTTCCCAGAACTCCATTCCCGGCCACATTTTGGATGCCCGGAGCCAACTGTAGGCCACTTCGTGGTCTTCGAGTTCCCAGAACTCCATTCCCGGGCCACATTTTGAATGCCCGGAGCCAACTGTAGGCCACTTCGTGGTCTTCGAGTTCCCAGAACTCCATTCCTGGGCATGATTTTGAATGCCCAGAGCCAACTGTAGGCCACTTCGTGTTTTTCGAGTTCCCAGAATTCCATTCCCGGGCCACATTTTGAATGCTGAGGCAGGCTGAGGCTGAGGCTGAGGCAGGCTGAGGCTGAGGCAGGCTGAGGCTGAGGCGAGGCTGAAGGCAGACTGAGGCTGAGGCTGAAGCAGGCTGAGGCTGAGGCAGAGGCAGGCTGAGGCTGAGGCTGAGGCAGGCTGATGCTGAGGCAGGCTGAGGCTGAGGCTGAGGCTGATGCAGGCTGAGGCTGAGGCAGGCTGAGGCTGAGGCCGAGGCTGAAGGCAGACTGAGGCTGAGGCTGAAGCAGGCTGAGGCTGAGGCTGAGGCAGGCTGAGGCTGAGGCTGAGGCAGGCTGAGCTGAGGCAGGCTGAGGCTGAGGCTGAGGCTGAGGCTGAGGCTGAGGCTGAGGCTGAGGCTGAGGCAGGCTGAGGCTGAGGCCGAGGCTGAAGGCAGACTGAGGCTGAGGCTGAAGCAGGCTGAGGCTGAGGCTGAGGCAGGCTGAGGCTGAGGCTGAGGCAGGCTGATGCTGAGGCAGGCTGAGGCTGAGGCTGAGGCTGATGCAGGCTGAGGCTGAGGCAGGCTGAGGCTGAGGCCGAGGCTGACGGCAGACTGAGGCTGAGGCTGAAGCAGGCTGAGGCTGAGGCTGAGGCAGGCAGGCTGAGGCTGAGGCTGAGGCAGGCTGATGCTGAGGCAGGCTGAGGCTGAGGCTGAGGCTGATGCAGGCTGAGGCTGAGGCTGAGGCCGAGGCTGAAGGCAGACTGAGGCTGAGGCTGAAGCAGGCTGAGGCTGAGGCTGAGGCTGAGGCTGAGGCTGAGGCTGAGGCTGAGGCTGAGGCAGGCTGAGGCTGAGGCAGGCTGAGGCCGAGGCCGAGGCTGAGGCAGACTGAGGCTGAGGCTGAAGCAGGCTGAGGCTGAGGCTGAGGCAGGCTGAGGCTGAGGCTGAGGCAGGCTGATGCTGAGGCAGGCTGAGGCTGAGGCTGAGGCTGATGCAGGCTGAGGCTGAGGCAGGCTGAGGCTGAGGCCGAGGCCGACGGCAGACTGAGGCTGTGGCTGAAGCAGACTGAGGCTGAGGCAGAGGCAGGCTGAGGCTGAGGCTGAGGCAGGCTGATGCTGAGGCAGGCTGAGGCTGAGGCTGAGGCTGATGCAGGCTGAGGCTGAGGCAGGCTGAGGCTGAGGCCGAGGCTGAAGGCAGACTGATGCTGAGGCTGAAGCAGGCTGAGGCTGAGGCTGAGGCAGGCTGAGGCTGAGGCCGAGGCTGAAAGCAGACTGATGCTGAGGCTGAAGCAGGCTGAGGCCGAGGCTGACGGCAGGCTGAGGCTGAGGCTGAGGCAGGCTGAGGCTGAGGCTGTGACTGCGACTGCCGTTGCCACTGCGACTGTCATCGCGAATGCGACTACGACTGCGCTAACAGCAGAATTCTACAACTGGATTATCATCCGAATCTTAAGGGGAATGCTTCCAGATATGCTCCTACACATCGCTGTTGGGTTGCTTTGCCGGGATATTATATTTTTATATATATACACATATATATATATATAGATAGATATATGTGCACATCTATGTACACAGATGTCTCCGCCATCGCGCCTCCACGGCCGTGGAGTGCCAGGCCGCCTCTTGCTCGTCGGCTGCCTGGTACGGCGCCAGCACCCGCTTCCCCAAACCGTACCAGCACCCATCTGTGCCATTCTCAGGCTCCCTGCGGGGCCGGCGTGGTGCGCTGGGGGCTTCGTCTGGTGCCTGGTTGGTGGGCGCCCCTCCTGGGCTGGGCCGGTGCGCCCGAGCTTCGGCCGGTGCCCACCCGTGGGCCCTTCGTGGTTTTCTCTCCGAGGGGCTTCTCAAGCCTCGGGGCGGCTCCGCGATCGCCCGGTGCAGCTCACGAGCTCCAAGAGAGGGCTCCGAAGGCTCCCAAGAACACCCCGGGAGAGGCCCAGGGGAGCTCGACCCACCAGCGGGGTGCATCATCGGGCGGCAGGCCCCGACGTGTCCCCAATGTAATGTACCCCCGAGGGCCCGAGGTGGCCCTGACTGATCGGAGGCGACCCCCAGGAAGCCCCCAGGAAACCATGCGGTTCGTCAGAGAGCCCTGTTTCCTCGCTCCTGCGCCGCCCAAGCATCCAGGGCGATCTGATCTAACTTTGGGTCTTGTTGGGTCATCGGGGGGGGCCTTTCGGGCCGCCCCGTCTTGCGGCCCTCGGAGCGCTGAGCCCATTCGGAGGCCTGTCAGGGTGCTCTTCGGTCTGTCTTGGGGTGCCGAGGTAGCAGCAAGGGCAGTCTTACAGTTCGTGGGCCCCTCTTGGGGCCAACTTGGGGGCTTGTTGGGCCGTCTGGGGGGTGGCTTTGGGGGCCGTCTGAGGGCCCTCGTGGGCCGCTTTGGGGCTCTCCTGCCGGGCCCAGCGCGGATCCGAGCAATCCGCCGCCAAAAGTTTGTGTTTATGGCGTTTTTGCTCCTTCGAACCCCATCCTTCGCGCATCGCGCCCCCCCCCGGCGCGCAGCCATCTCTTCTCGCCCTCGCGCCCTCGCGTCGCCCCCTCGCTCGGGAAGAGCAGCCGTCCTGGCCCAGGCCGCGCCGCGCGCGAATTCCGCGGACCTTCGCGCCCGTGGCGCTGGCCCAGATACGCTGCGTCCCAGAACAGCCCCGCGGCAAGTGCGTGCCGTGCCTTGCCAGAGGCGGCCGGATAGAAACGAGCGGTGGCACGTTCGACGGCCTTCGGTGCTCGAGCCGTCGCCACGCAGAGTGTGGCGCCGACGCGGTCGCGGGACTTGCCGCAGTCTGCCGGACAGGTGCGCGGGCCGGGAAGACACGCCGAAGCCGAATGCCACGCGCATGAGCGAATACCCGACGCAGCAGCGTAACATCTCCTTCGGCTATACGACCGGAACAGAAACACAGAATGTATAGTGTGAAGGAAGCACGGCCACTGCGCGCTTCAGCTTCGCCTGCAGAAGGGGACTGCCATCAGCCCTGAGAAAGGTGAAGCTTCGTCCGGCGGAAGAGAAGCGGTTGCGCCCCTCCTTGCTCCTTCCCCCTTCCCTCGTCCCCAGGCTCCTCCCTGGCCCCCTCGCCTCCTCCCCGCTGCACGCCCCGCTCCTCCTCATCCCTTCATCCCCACTCCGCGCGGAGGCTCGCAACAGAAAACATGCGGGCATGGTCACGCGAGGCTCGCGACTGCCTCTGACCGCACAGCGGGGGCCCTGAAGTCTCCTTCCAGGTTGTCCACCAGAGCCAAATGCTTTGCACACGCCTCCGGGGGAGTGATGACGTCGGCGTGGTCGTCTTCTCCCAGTAAGCCGCCCACGACAAACCCTGATCGGCCCAAATGCTTCGCGTACACGTTCAAGTAGCGAACGCCGCTGTCCGTGAGTCCACGGACGACTTTCAGGTCAACGTTGCCAAAGGCAACCCATTCTGAAGTCTCGCTGTCTGCCTGCGATGCGCTGTAACGATACCCCCCAGCCTGTTTCGCCTCTGCCCAGGACCCTGTGACGTTCAGCTCCTGGAAGTAGATGTCCGCGCAGTGCCCACCCAGGCGACGCGCGCTGGCCTGCACGCGGAGCAGGGCCTTCTGGGCGCTCGCTCCACGGGGAATGTCGATCAGAACGTGCTGGCCCTCCTTCCCGTGATGCCAGAAGCTGCCGATACCGCTGCTCCCCGGACCTCTCCCTGGGTGCGCCCTGACCAGGACCTCGAGCGACTCCAGCGGAGGCGACGAGGACCTGCCAGGAGGCCCCCAAAAAGGCAGAAACGAGGGAAGCGTAGTGGTACGGGCACCTCTTTTCCTCCTCAGACCCTCATCAGGTCGAACCGCTCACCGTGGACGTTCTGCAGGTGGGGGTCGCCGATGGCAGCAGCGCCCCCGCCCGACCCGCCCGCACTCCCGGCGGGGGCAGTGACGGGGGCGGGCGCGGGAGCGGACGAGCAATCTGCTCTCGTCACCGTCGCGATGACCTCGTCGGTGCACGTGGCACG